CTATGAGGCTTGATGATCTACAGTGCCCATGAGGAGTCTTCTTCAGCTAAGCATTCAGAAACAAATCTTAGCATTAAGAAACAAATCTTAAAACTGCAGTTCTCCCCTTGTCCCTCGTAATTTCTCCATTAGGTATCTTTTCCCTTACCCATCATATTACTACAGTACTGTTTCATAACACTATATGTATGGACTGAATTATTCCCCCCTTAAACTCATGTTAAAGCCCCCATCCCCAATGTGACTATTTGGAGATGGGCTCTTAATGAGATAATTATTGTTAAATGACATAAAAAAGGTAGAGCCACAATCAATAGGGCTGGTGCCCTTTTAGAAAAGGAAAAATACCAAATCACTCTCTCACTACACACACAAATAGAGGCCACATGAGGCAGAGAGAAGGAAGCCATTTGTAAGGCAGGAAGAAAGCCTTCACCAGAACTTGAGTCTGCTGGCACTCCATCTGGGACTTCTAGCCTTCAAAACTGGGGGAAAATAAATCTCCCATGTTAAAGTCACCAAGCTCGGTATCTTGTTACGGCAGACAGGGCAGACTAAGATAATAGATTAAGTTGTATTATTTTGCCATGTTGAATTTAGACTTTATATCAGAAATCACATTAGTAATGGCCACCAGAGAATCATCTGTAGCTTACTTTTGTAACCACAGGAATATTCTTCACTGCTGCCAACAAGTCACCTTCCCATTTTTCTTTCTCTTGTTTTTTCAATATGTGACAGATACATGAATATAATAATTTTTTTACTTTAACTATATCATAAGAAAAACAAAATGTAAGTACTAGGCTAAGCAACTGAGACTAAGCCCAATTTCAAGGGACACAGAGAGGACTAAGGTAAACTGGAGAATGCAAATTCTAAGGAGAGTCAAACATCACTCAGGTACAGCTCACTGCTGATAAGCAAAAACAAACCTCCATTGTTATCAGCTCTTCTAATTTCCAATTTTATTTTATTTTATTTTTTTAAAGATTTATTTATTTATTTATTTGACACACAGAGACCACAAGTATGCAGAGAGGCGGGCAAGTAGAGAGAGGAGAAGCAGGCTCCCCGCTGAGCAGAGAGCCCGATGCGGGGCTCGATCCCAGGATCCTGGGATCATGACCCGAGCCGAAGGCAGAGGCTTTAACCCACTGAGCCACCCAGGTGCCCCCTAATTTCCAATTTTAAATTTTCACAGCAAGTTCAAATTAAAAAAACAAAACAAAACAAAAAGCAACCACACACATGTGGAAACATGTTCTCACAAAAATCTGTACATGAATGTTCACGGTGCCATTACTCATAATAGCCAAAAAGTGAAAACAAGTCAAATGTCCATCAACTCATGAGTGAATTAACAAAATGTGGTGTATCTATATAAGGAAATATTATTCAGTCATAGGGGTAGGTAAAAAGTGGCAAGTGACTGCTTAATTATTATAGGGTTTCTTCATGCGGTGATAGAAATCTTCTATAATTAGATGGTGGTGATGGTTGCACAACATTGTGAATATACAAAAAAAAAAAACCTGAATGGTATACTTCAAAATGCTGACTTTCACCTTAATTAAAAACAAACAAAACAAAAAACAAAGGAGCACTGTATAAACAAAACAAAACAAAAAAAGTTTTCAGGCCAAATCAGGTTTGTAAGCTGCCTATCTACAATTTCTATTCTCTATTAAAGATTCTCAAGTGGTAGTCTTTACCCATTCTGCATATAGGCAGAAGTGTATGATACAAAAGCTAACAAAAGGAAAGTCTTTTTCCAATTAGCAGAAAGAAACCGAAGGTTAGGATTTCCCTCAACTTTGTTTTTCCTCATACTTCTTTTTTAGTGTTCTGGTACCTTCCAAATTAGAATACAGTATCTAACATGGAGTGAAAATATACATTAAGCTTTATGGTGTCCTAGAAGAATAGTAACTTCTGGTAGTATACCACCAAACAAGATATTCTGGGTCTTAAACAGAGAAGGGCTTACGTTATACCTAACACTTGCTTTGAAATCTATCATCTATCACAGTTTGAGAAGAACAAGTCAGCAAGTATTTGAGAGCTTCAAGCTTGGTAGTATGCCTGACCCTAATATAAGTAGGAAAAAAAAATAGTATTTAATTAAGTGCTAGCAGAACTTAGAAAAAGATCAAAATTCTGAGATTCCAGATGGCCCTGAATGACTAGAATTTCCAGAGTGAAAGAAAAGTATCTCAGAGAGATAAAAGCATGATAAAGACACAGAAGGAATGCCCAAGACACAAGGAGAAAATGCATCTAGATAACCCAGAACTAGTGATGATGTAGAAAACTAGTGGGAGGGGCGCCTGGGTGGCTCAGTGGGTTAAAGCCTCTGCCTTCGGCTTAGGTCATGATCCCAGAGTCCTGGGATTGAGCCCCGCATCAGGCTCTCTGCTCTGCAGGGAGCCTGCTTCCCTTCCTCTCTCTCTGCCTGCCTCTTTTCCTACTTGTGATCTCTGTCAAATAAACAAATTAAAAAAAAAAAAAAAAAAAACTAGTGAGAGATAACACTAGAAACATCATTCGAGGCCAGACTGTGAGATTCTGAATGCCAGTTTAAGAAATTCAGACTTTTTTCAGACCTTTGAAATAAAAAATGATTTAATTACTCAGTGAATGTCTTAAGACATATGATGCCATCTTTGGATCTTTTCTTTGCTTATTTTTATAAGTAATTCATTTCTTCTTGGCACTTACACAAAAAAAAAATTTTTTACTAAGGTTAGATACAAAGAATTTACTAAGGTTAGATACATAGCAATTCAACAAACAAAGAAAAATCTATTTTAGCTGCAAGAATGAGAGTAGCTGTTTTATTCTTTCCGCAGTTCCTGTTTATTTTTTTCCTTCCTGATGTTTGATTTCCAAATATTCCTGCCCAAAGGCAATGTTTATTTACGTCTGAAAGTAATAAAAATGACAAGCCAGAATCCCATTTCTTTGGTCTTGCTTGGAAAAGAACACAATAACTACATCTAAGAGGATGGAGTAAGAGGGGGGGCTTTAGGGGTTGAATAAAAATGTCGACTCCCACAAATTATGTGTTTCTGTAGCATCTAAAGTACACAAACTCCAGAGAAAGAACAAAGACTGCCCAGGTGTGAACACTGGGTATGCCACTAACAGGCTGCATGACCCTGGGAAAGTCACTCAAATCTCTCCTTTGACTCCCTTTGCTCATTTGGAAAAAATAAAAACAAATCACAAAAAACCCCACAAAAAAACCCGAAATACTACCTACCTATCATACCTAACAGAGTGGTTGTGAAGATTATATGACTTAACACACGTAAAGCACTGAGCACAGTACTTGGCACAAGGTCAATGGTATGTGGGTATATTTTACCCACTGTAGTGTAAGCTTCACAAAAGCAAGGATTTGTCTTTCCTTATTGAAGTCTCATGTCTAAAATGGTGCTTAACACATAGCAGGTATACAGTAAGTATGTCCTAAATGAGTAAGCAACATTTTGCTATTGGAGTAACAGAAGAGAAACATAAGAGACACTATTTAAAAGAGAAAGGGGAAAATCAAAGAAGGTTAAATGTCTTACTCCTCTTCCTTTGCTACTTTTTAAACAGATGTCCCCCCCACCCAGCCTCTCTGTTAACTGTGTTTAGTGTTAAAATATCAGTATTCACTGAGGAATATTTTCAGGAACAGCTGTCTGAAAGACTCTGCTGTATTTAAATAAATACAAGGTTAGGAGGAAACTGCCTCTGTAACCTTGCTAAACAAAGTGTGATTCTCTGACCAGCAGCCTGAGCATCACCTAGGTCCTTGGTAACTAAAATGGCAAATCATCAACTTCACACAAGACCAATGTACTCAGTGTCTGCACTGTAAAAAGATCACCAGATAAACAGCATGCATATTAAAGTTTGAGAAGTACAGCCCTAGATTACTGTAGTTGAAAAGTAGAGGTGATACAAGACCAGGGTTCAAATCTAGACTCTGACCGTTTATTATATATAGGACCCAGGGCAAGTTTATAAACTTACCCATTACCTCATCTATAAAATTAAAACCATAATAACAGCAGTTCCCTCAAGAAGATGCTATGATGACTGAAAATGCATGTGTAGTGTTTGGTGGACTGCAAAGTAACAAAGCTAGGGGGAATGTAAAATGGCCCAGCAGCTGTAAAAAGTGGTATGGCAGATCTGCAAGCTATCATATGATCCAGCAATTCCACTTCTAGGTATATACCCAAAAGAAGTGAAAACAGTGACTCAAACAGCTATTTGTACACCCATGTTCCTACCAACAATATTCACAACAGCCAAAAGGTAGAAGAAAGCCAGCTGTCCACAGACAGATGAATAAACAAATGTGATAAATATACAGCGGAATATTATTCAGCCTATCATTATGCTCAGTGAAATTAGCCAGTAAAATATTCTATGAACAAATATTCTAAGATTTCTTGGACAGAACATCCCAAGAGTTAGGCAAATTCACAGAGATGGAAAGCAGAATAGTGGATGCCAGGGGCTGGGGGGTGCAGGGGTAAATGAGGAGTCAGTATTTAACTGTCAGAGTTTCAGATGGGGAAGATGACTCTGGAGATGGACGGTGGTGACAGATGCCCAACAATGTGAATGCACTTAATGCCATGGAATTGCATACTTAAAAATGGTTAAAATGATAAATTTTATGTTATGTATATTTTACTACAATAATAAAAGAGTTCAATAAAGTATCTTTGCATTTTTAAAATTAGCAAAAAATACGTTGTGATGATCTGAACACTTTTTATTTAAATTTTATAAATGTACAATATAAAAGAGGAAATGTACTCAATGGCCTTTTGCTGCTTATTTTTCATTAAAGAAAAGAAAAATCAATCTCCCTCTACCGGAAGACTTCCAATTTTTCAAACTGAAAGAATTCTAATTAATATAGTTGGAAATAGAAGTGGAAGAAGAGAGAAGAAATTACAAAACAAAGCAAAACAAAACACACAAAAAAAAACCTTGTTTAGGTGCTTCTTCCTCCTTTTTAGTCTCCTCATCCTCTAAGCTGGGACTTTCCCGGGAAGAGTTGTCCTGTTGGCTAGAGTTTTTCAGTAGCACAGGATCAATCTGTGCTTTCAGGAGGGCAAGAGTCTCAGCCAACTCGTTTCGATTTCTAAATAAGGGAAAAAAACAAAACAGCATAAAAATCTTAATCCTGTCCTAAAGAGCTTTCAGAATAATACTTTTAGAAATTAGAATTTTAAAAAGAAAAACACATTTAAGAACATCCAAAACACTGGTACACCTCATCTTAATTAACCTTGAATCTAACTAACTATTAGGAAAGAAAAGCATATGAAAATATGTTATTTTCCAAAACGGAAGAAACGTATACCCTACGGATTAAAATGGCAATGTGAATCTCTCTGGCTGAAAAGAACAGCAGGAACAAAATTAAACAAAAATCAAAGTTAGATAATTTTTAAAAGTCCTATGTAATCTCTAAAGAGTACAAAAGCAATGTAAAATTTCCTTGAAGAAGCACTTTTTTAAACAAAATGGATCACATTCTTGATTCATTTGTGAATAAGAACTTTGTTCTACCTAGAGAAAGAATAACATTTGATACTGTTACAAAATTATGATCTAGGTCTGAGTAATTATAGCAAAGTCAGCTCTTAGAACACAGCTAAAAAACCTAAGAATTTGGGAAACTGAATGTTGTTCTGTCAATTACAGTTTACAACTACAGGATGAGAATTCAATTTGAACCAAAAATACAAGAAAATCCCAAATAAATCAGATTTAACCTATTAATTCTCTACCTTTAATACCCAGACCAGAGTTGTGTTAGATGGCTGATTTAAATGCCACCTATTTTGGGGATGCCTGGAGGGCTCAGTTGTTTATGCACCCATCTGCCTTCAGCTCAGATAGAGTCCCACATCGGCTCCTTGCTCAGCGGGGAGCCTGCTTCTCCCTCTGCCAGCCACTCCCCCTACTTCTGCTCTCTCTCTCTGACAGATAATACAATCTTTAAAAAAATTGTTTTTGGCCAAGTTCCTATTTCCTAACTTCATTACACCAACCTGCTTCTAACCTAAGGCTTTATCCATTTAATGTTATTATTGTGCTTAGTACACTAAGAATTACATATGTAAAAAGTGCCTCAAGCTTCTTGTTATTTTTTGAAGTCATGCTGGGAACTGAATTTAAGTTGTTCACTATACCTATTTTAAAAAAGCTTCCAAGCATTAGAAGAGAACCAATACTGCTACAAAATCCATGTCAATTACTAGACTACAAAACAATCGAATTAAGCAGAAAAATTTATTGGAGAACTCCCTAAAAAGCTTTAACCTGACTACTGTGTTAAAATGCAAGATTCACGTAGTCATAATTATATGAAAACAGGAAACTACCCAACTTTGGAATTCTATTTTGATCTAAAGATGAGATTTAATATGCAAAATATATTTTTTTAAATCCCAAATTTGAACTAGTCCGAAGGGATTTTTATAAATAAACATATATTCAAATTATACCCAAAACTCTTACCACTACCTATAGAAACTCTTAAAATAGACAACGGACGCTAACAATCAGTGCTCTGCTCTCTCTCTCCTTCCATTGCTGGCTCTGTTTGCTCTAAAACATTCCTTCACTCAGGTATACTAGATATACCCCTCCAAAATACCATTCTCTCTCTCTCTCTCTCTCTCTCTCTCTCAGGATGTAAGGTGTTTACACTTCTGCTCTTAGCCTGGAATGTGTTCTGCATGGCTACCCTAACTATTCTAAGACAAGCACAGAATGAATAAACAACTGTGATATATCCCTACAAGACAATACTATTTAGCAATAAAAAAGAACAAAGTACTAATTTAACTACATAAATGAACCTTGAAATGATTATGCTTTCCAAAAGAAGCTAGACACAATGGCCACATATTGTATGATTCTGTTTATGAATAGTAAATTACAGAGACAGAAAGCAGACTGGCAGATGCCACCAGCTGGGTAAAGGGAGAATGGTGATTAAAACTGCTAATGTGCAGGGTATGCAGTACAGGATTTCTTTATGGGGTGAGGAAAATGTCCTGGAATTTGATAGCAGTGGTGGCTGCACAACTTTGTGAATATACTAAAAACCACTGAATTGTATTAAAAACAAAAATAAGGGGTGCCTGGGTAACTCAGTGGGTTGGCCGCCCAACTCTTGATTTTGGCTCAGGTCATAGTCTCAAGGTGGTGAGATGGAGCCTAGCTTCGGGCTCCACACTCAGTCTGAGATTCTCCCTCTCTCCCTCCCCATGCCCCTCACCCACTGATACATGTGTGCATGCTCTCTCTCCTGAATTAAATAAATCACTCTTTAAAAAAACAAACTAGGGGCGCCTGGGTGGCTCAGTGGGTTAAAGCCTCTGCCTTTGACTCAGGTCATGATCCCGGGGTCCTGGGATAGAGCCCCGCATAGGGCTCTCTGCTCATCGGGGAGCCTGCTTCCTCCTCTCTCTCTCTGCCTACTTGTGATCTCTGTCAAATAAATAAATAAAATCTTTAAAAAAAATAAAAATTAAAAAAATTAAAAACAAACCAAAACAAAAACAAAAATGATGATGGCTTGGATAAGAACACAACTATAAAGGGGATGAGGAATGGTCACACTGGATACACTTTGCATGGAGAGCTGTTTGGATCTGCTGATACAGTGGATGTGACAGGAGAGGAAAATGAAAAGTCAAATTTTGTGACCCAAGTTTTAGATCTAAGCAGGTGAAAGGATGTGACTGCTATTAACTGAGATGGGAAAAATATGTTGCAGTGGAAAGGGTAGGTCAGATTAACAAGCAGACTGACTGACTCTGACTAAATAGATTCTAAACTCTTGTGTTGCACTCTCTGTATCTGAAGTTAATTTAGACTTTGGTGAAATGGAGTATATCATCCTATCTATTATGTTGTGGAATATGATTTTTTCTAGTCTAAGGGCTGTTCAGAGTTAAGACTTAGTGAAAGGGATTAAACCTTTAGGAATCAATTGAGCTGACAGTACAATATCGTAACAAAACAAAACAAAAAAACAGACAAAACAAAAACAAAGCCAAGCACTAGCATCATCTTCTGCCAAATATCTGGGTCCTAAAGAGCACACACCAGAATGATCTCCATCACAGATCGCAATTATGACCCTCTATTATCATTTACTACTTCCCCATATCTTTTTCCCACAATTTGGAACTCCTTACGAAACTGCATTGAATCTATTTCCATGGCACAGCACAGTGTGAATATAGCAATTCTTTATAAGTACCTATAGTATATGATTATAGGGCCCACCAATAATATTCCATCTTTTTTCATTTGAATCCAAATTAATAGGTGACAAAACAGGGAGAATAATGGAGTATGACAGTATTTCTTTTGGGGGCCAAGAACCTGAAGGAAGACATTAATGAGTAATATCAACAGCAGTAGTATCAATAACAGAAGTTAACATAAGTAATTACTATGTTCCAGGCACTACTCCAAGCACTTTACTTGAACTAGTTCATATAATCCCAATATAACCTGATTAAATAGGTACTATACTTACCCCTCATTTTATAGAGGAGGAAGTGAGGACACTACAGAGAGGTAATTTGCCTAACATCATGGTTAGTACAGATTAAAGGCAGGACTGAATTATAGTCTGACTTCCAAGACCATCTTCTCAATCAATCACTGTACTATACCAGCAGCATATGGTTTAGAAATGTCTTTGACAGAATGACAATCATTTTGGATACATGAAAACTCGACACACTGTTTATTTAGAATTTGGCTTTTTGAGAATGACTGTCAAACCATTACAATTCTTAAAATATTTATTGATGTAAAATTTACATACTTTGAAAGTGTTCTTAGTGTTCAGTTAATCAGTTATAACATTTTGGTTGCTTTCAAGTTTTGGCAAGTATGAACAAAGCTGCTATAAACATTTGTTTGTAGGTTTTTGCGTGGACATAACTCTTTAACTCCTTTGGGCAAATACCAAGGAGTATTTGGTTCCTGGATCATATGGTATTTAATTTTACAAAAAAACCATCAAACTGTATTCCAAAGCAGCCATACCATTTTGCATTTCCACGAGCAATGGCTGAGAGTTCCTGTTGCTTCACATCCTCATCAGCATCTGCTGTTGTCAGTGTTCTGGATTTTGGCCATTCTAATAGGCGTACAATAGTATCTCATTTTAATTTATATTTCACTGAGGATATATGATGTGAACCACTTTTCATGTGTATATCCATACAAATATATGTGTATATTTGCCATCTGTGTATCTTCGTTGGCAACGTGTTAAGGTCTTTGGTCCATTTTATATCAGGTTTTCTTTTTCCCTTTTTTTTTTTGAAGATCTATTTATTTTTTTTAAAGAAAGAAAGAGAGCGCGAGCAAGTGTGAACAGGGCGAGGAGCAGAGAGAGGGAGAAGGCTAGCAGATTCCCCGCTGAGCAGGAAGCCCAAGGTGGGCCCAACCCCATGACCTGGAGATCACAACCTGAGCTGAAATCAAGAGCTGGATGCTCAACCAAATGCCCCTCAAATCAGGTTGTTTTCTTATGTTGAGTTTTAAGTGTTTTTTATATATTTTGGATAATAGGCCTTTATCAAATACATCCTTGGTAAATATTTCCTCCCAGTCTGTGGCTTAGCTTTTCATTATCTTGACAGTTTACAGAGCAGAAATTTTTAATTATAACGAAGTCCAGCTTTTATCACTTCTTTTTTTCATGGATTATGCCTTTGGTGTTACACCAAAGAAGTTACTGCCAAACCCAAAATCATCTAGATTTGTTTGTGTTATCTTCTTGGAGTTTTATAGTTTTACATTTATAAGGAGGTCTATAATTAATTTTGAGTTAATTTTTGTTGAGGGTGTAAGGTCTGTATCTGGATTCACTGTTCTGCATATGGATATCCTTTTTTTTCCCCCCAGTATTACTATCTTTTCTGCACTGTACTGCCTTTGCACCTTCATATGGGCTTATTTCAAGGCTCCCTATTCTGCTACACTATGTATTTGTCTAGTCTTTTTGGGTTTGGTTTGGTTTGTTTTGGTGATCTCTGCATCCAACTTGGAGCTCAAACTTACAATTCTAAGATTGAGAGTCATATGCTTCACTGACTGAGCCAGCCACGTGTCCCTATATCTGTCTCTTCTTTTTACTAATACCACACTGTCTTAATTACAACTTTATACAGGTTGTGAAGTCGGTTAGTGTCAGTCTTCTAACTTAGTTTTTCTTCAATATCATGTTGACTACTCTGGGCTTTTTGCCTTTACATATAAAATTTTTTTTTTTAAGATTTTATTTATTTATTTCACAGAGAGAAAGGGCACAAGTAGCAGAGAGGCAGGCAGAGAGTGTGGGGGAGGCAGGCTACCTGCTGAGCAGAGAGCCCCAAGTGGGGCTCGATCCCAGGACCCTGGGATCATGACCAGAGCTGAAGTCAGATGCTCAACCAACTGAGCCACCCAGGCGCCCCTACATATAAATTTTTTAAAAAGTTTGTCAATATCCACAAAATAATGTGCAGGAGTTTTGATTATGACTGCATTAAGTCTACGGATTTTAAGTTGAGAAGAAGTGACATTTGGACAATATTAAATGTTCCTATCCACAAATATGGAACATGTCTCATTTTATTTAGCTCTTCTTGGGTTCTTTCATCAGTTTTATATTTTTCCTAAGATAGATTTGTTCATATTTTATTTGATTTATTTATTTTATCTGATTAAGTATTTCAATTTTGGGGGAGATCATATAAATGGTATTATGTTTTAGATTTCAGATTCTACATGTTCATTGATGATATACAGGAAAGTAATGGACATTTGTATATTAACTTCATCTCCTGCCACCCTGCTATAATCACTTATAAAATCCAGGAATGTTTTCTGTTAACTCTTTCAGACTTTGTATAAAAATGATGAACATCTCATCTGCACATAAAGACAGCTTTATTTTTTCCTTCCCAATCTCTTCCTCTTAATCCCTTTACTTCTCTTAGGACATTAGCTAGGACTTAAGTATGATGTTGAAAAAAATTTTTTGAGGATTTCTGCATCTATATTCCTGAGAGATACTGGTCTAAAGTTTTCCTATCTTGTAACATCTTTGCCTCATTTTGTTATGAGGGTAATCCTGGCCTTATAAAATGAGTCAGGAATTATCCCTATTCTATCTTCTGAAAGAGACTGAAGAGAACTGGTATAATTACTCCCTTAAATGTTTGGTGGAATTCACTAGTGAACCCATCTGGGCTTGGTGCTTTCTGCTTTAGGTTATTAACTACTGGTACAATTTCTTTAATAGAGAGAGCCCTGTTCATATTTGTCTATTTCTTTTGGTGAGAATTTTGGCAGATTCTGTCTTTTAAGGAATTCGCCCATTTCATCAAGGTTACGAATTTGTGGGCCTGGAGTTGTTCATGGTATTCCTTAATTATCCTTTTGATGTTAACAGAATTTGTAGCAACGTCCCTTTTTTCATTTCTGATTATCACTAATTTGTGTCTGCTCTCTCTCTTTTTCTTAGCTAGCCTGGCTAGTGGGTTATCAATCTTAACTAATCTTTTCAAAGAACCAGCCTTTGCTTATATGAGAAGTTTCTTCTAAGTATTGCTTTCACTGAAAATTTTCAAGCACAAATTTTGATATATTTTATTTCCATTTTCATTTAATTAAAAATAATTTAAACAATCTGTCTTGAGAGGTCTTCTTTGATCCATGTGTTATGAAGACATGTATTAGCTAATATCTAAACATGTGGGAATTTTAAAGATCTCATTCTATAACTGATTTCTAGTTTAATTCCATTTTGTAGTCTGAGAGCAGACACTGTATATTGTCTAGGTATTAAATTTTCAGAAGATCAAATATAGAAAATTCCTTTTTTATGGATCTCTATTTTTATAAAAATATTCCATTTGATTTTAAGTTGCAAAGTTCAGTTACATTTTAATTTTATCAATCATTTAGAAAAGCTGTCTTACAGCTTAAAAAAAAAAAACCAGAATTCTAAAGTCTAGATAACTTTTGTCATATAATCTTCTTTTCAGAGTTAGGCAGAAACATGTTTCCAACACCAGAAATATCCCAGAAAATTAGCATTACTTTAAAGAAATAGTTTAAAGAAAGGGAGGCAGATTTTTCATTTCACTAGTAAAAAACAATATTCATCAATGAGAGAAAAATATCGAGGTATACTCTATTAAACAGAAAAGTCAAAATTCTACTTGCTTTACTTGCTCTTCACTAATTATCTCACTAAGGCAATTTCTTGCTAAAAAGATTTTTCCCTCTGTAAACACCCTAATCCTACAATTTTAGAAAATGTTTTTAATATCTATCAGTTTTAAGACAAGAATTTCTCTGCAATATAAAAAAGCAAATGTTCTCACTTCTATAAGCTCAGTTCTATTTTCCCACAATTTGTATTCACTGATCCTGGCTCAGTGCTTGAGAGAAATACTTAAACAAATCAATCCTTTAAATGTTTAATTCTATCTCCCTAAATTTCTGCTGGATCAAGTATTTTCAGTTCATTGAATCATCTTCTTTGTGGTTCTTCACATACAAGACTTACTCTACTATATTAACGTTCTTCTTAGAGTTTGGCATACTAATCTAAACACTCCAGGAAGGATGGCATCAGGGCCAAGTAGAATAATGTCGTACATATTATTTGGGGCACATAATGTATTTAATGACAACTAAGATCATTATTTTGGCGACAGGCAGGAAAAATACAATGCTTTTTACATTTAACATTCACAAAATTAAGAGACTTCTATGGATAAGACAGTCACCATATTTGTCAAAAGTAGTACTATTGTATCAATTTAAAGGAACTGAAATGCCACGTCACAGAACATGTCAAGTATATGAAGCACAAACAGACCAAATTGAGGACTTGTGGAAAACTATGGTACTTCCCAGAAAATACACATATTAAATAAAACTAAGAGCTACTATTTACAATAAAAGGGACTTCCACAGGTGCTTGAAGCTCATCTACAGATTCTAGAGACTATATTCATTAGTATGACCACAATTGCATAGCATCATACTTAATTACACAAGTTGGTATGCAATATAAATTTATATAGTTCTCAAAATAACTTTACTATCATGCTCATTTTAAAGTGCAGGAAAGAGAATATCAAAGAAATTAAGCAATCTGCCTTCAGAGGGTAAGCAACGGAACTCAGATTTATACACAGTTAACTCTAAACACATCTCCTAAACACCTCTCTAACATCATCTATTAGGGTATGATATAATTAAAACACTATGCATTAGAAATTGTTTAAAGCATTACAACAGATCAATAATAATCATAATTATTTTTCTCTGTCACATTTTCTTCGTCTACAAAATAGGAGAGAATATCTCTTAAATAACTATGCAAAGTTGATAGAGGAAATAGTAGAAGTGGTAAGACATGAAAAGAATTTCAATCAGTGTATGTATTCATAGGGAGAAATGGTAAATGAATTTCACTTCAGGACTACTTTGATAATTTCCATTTAGTAGATTAACTATATGGAGAACCATAATGATTGATGGGTGCTTATAAAACATTCCCCTATAAACTCATTCAATTCACATTTATTCTTAAGGCATGAAAGTTGAGCTTCCCTGACCCAAATAAATACTCTAAATTTCCACAGATTATCTCTTTAAAACATTAACAACCACTATCAAAAATCTGCTAAAACTCAAAATGAGCAAAATCAGAGACTGAGTTGAAATCAAGAAGTTTTCCATAAGCCAGTTATACATTCACTAGTTTTCCCTACTTTAGTTACAGATTTATTTATAGATCCTGATCATTTCAAAATTAAGATAAACTGTGTATATTAATGGAATAAATTCTAAATTATTACACTGTAAAAAACAGAATATTAGAGACACAAAGATTCTTCTTTTTAAGATTTATTTATTTGAAAGAGAGACAGAGCATACAAGAGCAGCGGGGAGGGACAGAGAGAGAGAGAGAACATCCAGCAGACTCCCTGCTGAGCAAGGAGCCAAAGGCAGGGCTAGATTCCACAACCCCAAGATCATGACCTGAGCTGAAATCAAGAGACGGAGGCTTAACCAACTGAGCCAACCAGGTGCCCCAGAGATATAATGATTCTGAATAATGATCCCAGTGTCATTGACTAAAAAATAAAAATTTTATTTTAAGTTTTACATGAAATGTTTTCACTCATATCTATCAATACAAATAAGATACAAATAATAAATGTTTTCACTCAAATCTATCTATCAATACAAATAAGATACAAATTATAAATACAAATAATTTACTTAAAAATAAAATATAATAAAAAATACAAATAAGAAACCAAGATTTTTTTAAAAAGGACTATGCCCAAAAAAGTCCAAAATATTCCTCAGATTTCTTCAGAACCCTAATAAAGAAACGTATGTAAAGATTAAAAATACACTAAAGTGAGAAAATAAACTGGCCAAATTAAAACAATTAGAAATAAATAAATAATATCTAATAGAAAATTGTAGCTAGATAAAAACCAAATACTGCTTTTCTTGTATTTCTAACAATGGATTTTTCTTTGCATTACCTTTTGTCAGATTCCAGCTTCCTAAAGTGTAAGGTACATGTGCTGATATGGACCACCATGTTAAATGTGTTTGTTTGAGAAATAATTAAGGGTCCACTATGGGTATTGTGCTGGGCACTAGGCTAGGTCCTGGCAAGTCTCCAATTCCACAAAAAAAGGACTGACTTAGCCTCAGAGATTATATTCTTATACAGAAGAGATTAAAGAAACACACAAATAAATGTGAAAAGATTCCAATAAAAGATACCTGACAATGCATTTCCATGAAGAGCCATCTTGATCATCCTGTTCTTCTATATACATTCTGACATTATGATCTTGGTCCAACTGGTACCAGTACATGAGACCATCTTTGTCTCGGCCAATTGGTTGGAGACGCATGGTATCAGCATCCTCCTCATTGATAATGTTCTTGAATTTGAGATTGTCATCAAACTGACACTCGCAGAGGTACTGGAAAATAGTCAAAACATGGTTTAAAATACCCCATTACCTAAATGTGGTATGTTTAACCACAGAACTAATTCAGAGATGGGAGCAGAAAAAAATATGTATAGTTTATCCACCTTTCACTATCCTCTCCCCACTTTTGTACAACCTGTTTAGAATAAGCAATTTAAAGAGATATTATTTCAAGTTAACACTTTTTAGTATTACTTAAATTTACAGGTTTAATATTATCAATGACACAAAAATCATGTTATATTTCAAAAGCACTGTATACTAGTCTCCCAAATTTTATTACATATAAAATTTTCAATGATTCTTTCTATTAAAGCTTTTAGATAACATTATTCTTGAAACAACTATTGGTGAATTAATTAAAATAATTGTAAAAGATAATAAATTCATTACCTTTAGGAGTGCTAGTTTGCATTCAACACTCATTTCAAGATAGCCCTTCTTCTCCATCTCCCATGCCCAGGTGCTATTAAACTCTTGGCATATCTGTCAAACAAAGTTAATATCTTAATACATAAAAGCAATTTATATTTACATTGGTATTTTATTGTATAATTATGTTAACTATACTTATTTATACATATTTATAATGGAACAAGTTTATAACAAATACATTCCAAGCCAAACGCATCCTTAAATACACCAGAAATGCTTACTTGTGACTAATGACTGAATTTAAGGTAGGCAGTGATCTCTAGAGCTCTCTCCTTTGCTCTCAAGAATTTTATACATGTTTTATGGCACATTTTCCCAAATGCAAAAATTATCTAATTCCCCTTCCAAATGGCCTAGAAGTTCCTTGAGGACAATAGTTTATTTATCTCCATGCCTAGAATAGAGGTAGGCATTCAAAAATCATGTCAAATTATAGGCACATTTTTAAAAGAGAGATTTTACTTTATTTATTTGAGAGAGAGAGAGAGAATGGAGGTAGGCGGAAGCAGAGAGAAAGGGAGAGGCAGACTCTGCTCTGAGTGCAGAGCCCAATGTGAGGCTCAATCCCATGACCCCAAGATCACGACTTGAGCTAAAATCAAGAGTAGGATGCTGAGCTACGCAAGCCCCCTGTAGGCACATTTTTTAAAAAGCCATTCCCCACCTCAATGTCCTCTTTTTTTTTTGCATAAAGATCCCTTTGTTTGGCATTTGAGACTTTCTAAAATGTGACCATAACTTACAATTCTAGGTTTCTCTCCCTATACAAGCATTTCAGGCAAATCAGAGCCACTGTAACAATCTGAGGAAAGAAGATATGGATAACCACACCACTCAATAATAAGGATTAATCAGGAGAAATGCCATGGGTTGTATGACCTCTGTGAGCCAGTTTCTTCAGCAATAAAAGGGGAACAGTAACAATACTGATCTTAAATGTTACAAACAGGCATGAAACATTATACAAAGTGTCTAGTGACTCCATGCTCTTTGCTCTAATCCAAGAGGTAAGGAATATAATGAAGGTCAAGAGAGAAGAACCAACCAAGGGACAAGATTATTTGGGAGCTTGGGCAATTAGCTAGATAGGCAGGCAGGAGAAACATAAGCAGGCCAAGTGGAATTGCTTATATAATCACATTAACCTAAGAATAAGACCAAGCTGACCCTTCTAGGAATGTTGCCCTTTTCCTGTTCAGCACCAGTGTAATCGTTTTTTACCAACTATATAATAAAATCATACGAGATTATTGTTAGGATAGAAAGTGAAAATAAGGCAAGCAGTAAAGCCAAGAACGACATAATGATTGTTAGGACAGAAAGTGAAAATAAGGCAAACAGTAAGGCCAAGAACGAAAATATGATTATCATTAGTCATTAAGGAAATGCATATTAAAACCACAATGGAATACTACTTCATATCCATAAGGACAGTTGTATCAAAAAAGAAAAGTAAGACTCGCAGCTCAGTGATCTCAGGGTCCTGAGATCCAGCCCCACATCCGGCTCTGTGCTCAGCTCAGTGGCGATTCTGCTGGAGTTTCTCTCTCTCCCTCTCTCTCTACCCCATCCCAAGCTCACATGCTGGCGCTCTCTCTCTCTTGAAAACAAAAAATAAATCTTTAAGAAAAAAGAAGAAAATAGTAAATGGTGTGAGGATGTGGAGAGACCAAAATGCACAGGTTGTTGATGGGAATATAAAGTGGTGCAGATGTTTCATTAAAAAGCTAAGCAGTTCCTCAAAATGTTAACACTGAGCTATCACGTAACTTAGCAATTCCATTGCTAGGTATTTATACAGGAACAGTAAAAATACATGCCCATGCAAAAATGTATATAACGTTCATAGTAGCATTTTTTAGAATATTGAAAGGTGGAAACAACCCGCATATCCATCAACTGATAAATGGATAAATAATATATGGAATATTCAGGAATCCATACAGTGGAATTTTATATAGCTATAAAAAGAAACGAAGTACTGATACAGTGTACAGCTTGGATAAACATAAAACACATTATGCTCAGTGAATGAAACCAGATACAAAAGGTTACATATTGTTTGGCTCTATGTATATGAAACTTACACAACAGTCAAACACAGACTATAAGTTTACTAATAGTTACCAGGGGGAAGGTAGAGGGAGGACAGGGAGTGATTGCTAAGAGCAGATTCCTTTTCAGAGTGATAAAATGTTCTAGATTTAAGATAGTGGTTATGACTGCACAACCTAATGAGTATAGTAAAAAACGCTGAATTGTTTATTTTAAAAGGGTAAATGTCTGGGGCGCCTGGGTGGCTCAGTGGGTTAAAGCCTCTGCCTTCCGCTCAGGTCATGACCCCAGGGTCCTGGGATCAAGCCCCATCAGGCTCTCTGCTCAGCAGGTAGCCTGCTTCCCTTTCTCTGCCTGCCTCTCTGCCTACTTGTGATCTCTCTCTGTCAAGTAAATAAAATCCTTAAAAAATAAATAAATAAAAGGGTAAATGTCATGATATGTGACTAATATCTCAATTTAAAACAAAATCAGAGGGATAATCAAGAATGGACAACCCAGTATATGACTTGGATGAAGCACCTACTGAGTGTCCCGCTTTATACCATACCCCTGAAAGAAGAGGATGTTGGCTGACAATCTTAAAGGCTCAATCTGAGGGTGGGAAAGCTCACAGTCAACATCTGAGAGAGGCTGAGAATGAAAACAGCTCCAACGCCTGCTTGACAACCCAAGAACCAAGGCATAGCCAATGGCTCATGTAGTCAGATACCAAATACAAATGAATAACTCTTAATTATCTTTTATCATGTGAAAGGGGAGAAAAGTGAAAGCGAAAGAGGGGGTAAATAAACAGATAATTAAGACAGAGGCCTCTCTGCCTCTATCTTAAGGTATTTTACTGCTTACCTTCAATTTACTAACCTTCCTTATTTATCGCTTAGGGTACAAAACATTTGTGCTGATATTCGGAGGTGAATATGCTACTCATTTGGTTCTTTAATAAGGCAATACAGACATATTATTGTGCCATTTATAGAAAAATAAACCTCGAAACCTAGTATCATATTTGCCCAAATAGCTATGACCTATTGCTATCACAAAGTAAAGATTGTAAAATTAAGAAAAAAAAAAAAAGAATAAATGACAAATAATTATGCAGGACTATATAAATCTACACGAGGGGTCAGCAAACTTGTTCTGTTAAGGGCCAAATAAGAAATAATTTAGGTTTTGTAGACCATATGGTCTATTTTCAACTATTCAACTCTGCTGCTGTAGTGCAAAAAGCAACCACAGAAAATACATAAATGAGTAAACTTGGCTGTGTTCCAATACCACTTTATTTATGGATAAGGAAATCTGAATTTCATATAATTTTCATATGTCAACCATTCTCCAAACCCTTTAAATATGTAAAAAACACTCTTAGTTTTCAAGCCATACATAAGTAGACAGCAGGCCAGATTTGGCCCATGGGCCTATGTTTGCCTAGAGTACCAGAAACTGTGTCTATGAGACTGTCTATAACAGCTATTCTTGGATCCTTGTGAGACAGGGAAACTAAAGGGACCCCTTGAAGAACTGCTTTTTTTCCTGCTTCTATTCCTTTTAGGATCTACACCCTCACCATACACATCTTATGGAACAGATAATGTATGTCCTCCTTGTAAAGGTCAAGGAGGTAATGACTTCTTTGGAAGTCTTCCAGCACAATAGATAATATCTAAGGAGTAACCAGGCAGGGTCAACATGAGTGCTTTCCAAGACCCCTGACTGGCACCGGTACGTAAGTGACTTGTGAGGAACATCTAACACTGAACTTAGTCTCCGGATGCCTGAGAAGACACGTGAACCAGACAACAATCCTCAATAAAAACCCAGACCCCAAGCAAGACTCACTCTCCTTTCCTTTCTGAGTCTCCCAGACGCTCTGTCTATATCTGCACTCTCTCTACATCTTTAATAAACTCTGCTCTCACTTCCTTTTGGCTCACATTTGATTTCTATTCTGCGCAAAGCCAGGCGGCTAGAAGGGAGTTGGGTGGGGGGTTGGGGTAATTGCTTGATGGGCATTAAGGAGGGCACGTGACTTGATGGGAAAAAAGCGGGGGAAAACGCCAAGGACCCTCTTGGCTGATCCTGAGAGAACCCCTCTGGGTCCGAGGACCCAGCGACCAGCCTGCATCACTTGAAGGAAGAGGATCCTTATTAGATTATTAATTCATATTAACTCCCCATGCCCCAACTTGATTCTAATCAGTCTTGCAAATATAATTTGGTTTTGCATGCAATTTCTCTTTAGAGAATGTTCCAGTATTTAAAACATGAACATTTTTGTATAACGTTCATATTTATCACCCTAAGTTATTGTTCCATAATACTGGTTTTATGTTTGATTCTCTCTAATCTGGTTAATGAGAGGTCATATCCTGTTGTATCCCCCTGCATGGTGCCTAAGGAACAGTCTTTCTGATACACACATGAAATCAAAGTTCTGTGCCTGCAAGGCTGAATGCCATTCAGGCCTCTTGGCCATGTGCCTGCTGCCATTCCAGTAACCCCTGGGGGGGGGGGGGGGGGCTGTTTTTTCCCCCTAATTTACACACAGAAAAACAAGGATGAGGATGGAAAATGGGGGGGAGGGGCAGATTTAAAAGTCCACATCATCTCAGTATTTACAGGAAAGGTGGTTTCACATGCCTACACAGCAAATACATAGAATTTATCTCAGCGAGATCATTAACACATTAATCTTGGAGACATATAATCCTTCTCTTTTTGACAACATTAAAAGAGGGTCGGGTTGGGGGGGGCATTAAAAAGGGGAGGGATGGGGTGGAGCAAAGAACTGTAAAAACCCTCAGCATGAACATCCAAACCCCTGAATTAAGAGACTAAATCTGCCCCCCCCCAACTCATGTTCACATGTGCGCTCTTCCTCTCAAGTAAATAAAATCTTAAAAAGAGAGAGAGAGAGATACTAAATAACTCTAATGGCTTCTTGCAGTCTCAGGACTTGTCCCTGGAACCACTCTGCTCCTGAGTTCCTGTCT